GAGTACCATCTCAGCTGTTTTACCCAGGCAGCTGAGAAGAGAGATGGGACGGTAGTTGCCAGGCTCCTTCGGTTTTGGGATGGGAACTATTGTGGCTTGTTTCCAGCTCTGGGGCACCGTGGCGGTTTCCCAGGATTTGTTGATAACCTGCAAGAATGCAAGTTCTCCTGTCAAACCTAAATGCGAAATGATGGGGTGGGAGATCCCATCAGATCCCGGTGCTGATCCAGAACTGGTTTTGTATGACTTTCTTAGTTCCCTAAGAGAGAACAAGGCATCCGTGTCATCGGATTCAAGTGCCTTGTCTCTGATGAGCGCGTCTTCCTGGATTTAAGTTTTGTTGTTTTTTCCTCATCACTTGAGGCAAGTTGTTGTTGCTGGTTCTAGCTGATAACTCAAGCACCAATCTATTAGCCTCTGACTGTGGGTCATGATGAGTGCATTTCGGGGCTTGGCGGCTTGTCACTTGCCTGACCTGTTTCCACAACTCTGTAAGGCTGGTCTGGTTTCCAAGTCTGGCACCATTCCAGCCATTTTCCTGCCTTACTCTATTGGCAGTTTCCTTGGCATCCGCAACAGCTTCCCTCAACAGGGCCAGATTGTCGGGAGTTCTTTGCCGTCGGAAATTTTTTCTGCACATATTGACCCTGTGGGTGACCTCTTTGATCTCTTCATTATAGTACCAGGCGTCTTTGTGAGTTCTGGACCATGGGCGAGTTTTGGGGATGGTTTGTGAGGCTGCCTGATTTATGGCCTGGATTAGCCTTGCCTCTAGCACATCCACATTTTCATTATTGTTGGGTTCATTGTCTCTCAGACATCGGGCCAAGCCTTTCTGGAAGGCTAACCAGTTGGCCTTGTCTGTTTTCCATTTGGGAATGTGATGTGGTCTTTGGGCTGGACCTGCATCCATAAGGGTGGTGACTATGCCGTAGTGATCACTAGTAACCGTATCATCGACACACCACCGAATTCTCTCCACCATTGTTGCCGTGGCAAAGGTAAGGTCTAGGACCCCTCCCCTCACGTGCGTTGGTTCTTTGGTGTTGAGAAGAGCAATCTCTGGGAATGTGTCAAGCACTTCTGCATATGAATGCCTGCCGCGTTCGGCCTTTTGCGGGGATTCAGCATGGATGTGTGTGCATTGAAGTCTCCCCCTATGATCACTCGGTCTTGTGCTGCGGTAGCACAGACCTGGTTTAAATCTTTCTCACACAGTGGTTTGCTATATACATTATATATTTTTAAAGGACCCCCAGGCAGCTGAATCTCAACAGCAAGAGATTCAACGCCTTCTCCTCAGTGCGGCAGATTGGCTATTAAGGAGCAAGGGATTGCTTCTTTTACCAGGGTCACACACTACAAGAGGTACATAGAGGAGTATATATACAAATACTGGGTGGTCAGGTCACGTCGATAATCAGGTGAGCGACGACCTTGGCTAGTTCGTGGCTCCTCGTAGCGGTGTTGATGTTAGTAGTATTCTACCATCTTCCTTTGCCGTGGGGCCAGGCCTTGCTTTAAAGCAAGGCTTGGCCTTATATATATATATATATATATATATATATATATATATATATATGTGTGTGTGTGTGTGTGTGTGTGTGGTGTGTGTGTGTGTGTGTGAGAGAGTATTTATATGGTATAAAAGAACAATTTTTGGTTCTCTCTCTCCCCTGGGTCGAACAGCACACTCTGTGTCGCGCTTCCTTAAGAAGGAGGTAAATGCTCTTGGATTCTGTCCTCCTGCTTCACTGACTAGTCTTTCCACTAATCATTTCGTACTGAAGATCCGGCGATTGGCTATTCCACCGCATGAATTTTATTAGAATGCAATGAATGGCGTCGGAATGATTGCCAAGCCATACCAGCCGATGTGCTTGGAACCTTCTTACGCCGGAGGCAATGGCCAATTTTTGTCATCGATCGCCAAATTTTTTTTCTCTCTCCCTCCTCCCCTCTCCCCCCCCCCCCCCCTCCTCTCTCTCTCCTCTCTCTCTCTCTCTCTCTCTCTCTCTTCTCTCTCTCTCTCTCTCTCTCTCTCTCTCTCCCCTCTCCCCTCTCTCTATCACACACACACACATTCTCTCTCTCTCTCTCTCTCCCTCTCTCTATCACGCACACACACCTCTCTCTATCACGCACACACACATTCTCTCTCTCTCTCTCTCTCCCTCCCTCCCTCCCTCTCTCTATCACACACACACCCATTCTCTCTCTCTCTCTCTCTCTCTAACACACACACATTCTCTCTCTCTCTCTCTCCCTCTCCCTCTCTCTATCACACACACATTCTCTTTCCCTCCCTCCCTCTCCCTCTCTCTATCACACACATTCTCTCTCCCTCCCTCTCCCTCTCTCTATCACACACACATTCTCTCTCTCTCTCTCTCTTTTCCTCCGCGAATAAGGGAGGGAATGTTGCAGCCATACTTCGATATTAATACATAAATCAATTTTGCTCATGACTACATAGATCACACGTTTAACGAGGCTTCGAATTCTGATGAAGATGCAATAGAAATGTGTCAATGGCATCTCACGCGCTGGGATGTTGTTCTTTCTCATTAACATCTACATCTGTCATTATGGACTTTGTTATCCTAGGCGCTGGGATTTTAATATCTTTGACATTTATCATCATTTGTTCTCAGGCGCTGGGATGTGTTCTCATCAATATCTTCTCCACGTGTCGCAGTGAACTCCCCTACACGTGTTGCTCTTAGAGACCTCGCCGTCTTAACTTAGCGCTCGTGGTCATCGATCCTCCCCTTCCCCCCACCCCGCCTCCTCCCCCCTCTCCTCCCGTCGACTCACCAAAAGGATGGATTTATCGGAGGACCAAAGGCGTGGTTTTGAATGAAAAAATCTGCTGGCTATTGATTGTACTTTAAGTTCATAAACACGTCTACGCACGGAACGCTAATCGCCTAAGCGCGTGTGTGTATACATATATGTGTATAATAAATGTAATATATATATATATATATATATATATATATATATATGTAACAGTAGTCGCGGGACTTCTAAGAGGAAAGTGGAGAAGTATAATAAATCTGAACACCAACGTTGCCAGAAAAAAAAAAAAAATATCTCAGGGTTGAACGAATGAGATGAATTTCTTCAATTTATTTGCATGAAAACGTTTCGGGTTAACTTCACCCATCCTCAGTGAGACATAACTGTAAACAACAACAATCCTAAATATATAGTTACGTTAATTAATGGAAACTAATTGTTAAATACAATTCAATATTAATCAAAGTTACAGTAATTATTATATGTTGACATTTATATATAAATTTGAGAGTAAACCTTATTTGGAATCTGACAGTCTTATGATAGAAATGTCAAAACACAAACCGAGTCAAACACTAAAATTCCTCATATTCAAATTAACAGTTCAAATAATTTAATCTATTTTAACCATAAATGTGAAAACTAACATTTTGAAACTCTTTAAGAGCATACGAGTACTGGAAACTTACCCACATCTCAAAGAAAAAGAGAGATAAAAAATACACGAGTGAATTTGGCAGCACTCGAAAGTAACGAGCGATATAAACGCACACGTTCACTGTGCCTCAGGTCCTCTCCGGTGAGACGGAGATCGACTTACCTTCAAAAAGCTGCCATCGTGGGACCCAAAGCGCGCGCGGTCTCGGCCGCCCGGGGTGCAGTAAGGGTCGGATGACTAGGTTGCGGGAATGGCAATTTCGACCTTCTGGCCTTCTTGGAAATCTGAACGTTTGTAGGAATTGCGGGAAGGAATTCCAAGGTGGAAGATTCCGACCCACAAGAAGGAATTCCAAATCCTAGAAAAGTTCCAGATTCAGGAAGAAATTCCTTATTCAGGGGGAGGAAATCCAAATCTATTGGAAGTGATTCTATATCCAATGGAAGGATTTCCCAATCCAAGAGAAGGAATTCCTGATCCAAGGGAAATAATTCCTAATGAAAGAGAAGGAATTCCTGATCCAAGGGAAATAATTCCTAATCCAAGAGAAAGAGAAGGAATTCCTAATCCAAGGGAAATAATTCTTAATCCGAGGGAAGGAATTCCTCATCCCGAGTAAGGATGATATATACATACATTTCCTATGTTGACAGGAAATGTATGTATACTCTTTTGGAACTATATGATGAGAGTTGTATATATAATAGGAAATGTATGATTATTAAAAAAAAAATAATAATATGGATGTGTGTATGTTAGGATTTAAGCCATAGGGTTGCAATGTTATCGTTCAACTCATTTTCAGAACCTATCGCCCTCGTTACGTTCACCATGAAACCAAAGTTCTAAAAATCCACAGAAAGAGAAGAAGCGACGCTTAAATAATTTAACCCAAGTAATTGCACCGAAAATCGCATTTCGATTACACTCACCGGAGGGCAAATGGCAAACTCCATTCACTATCATACAAAATATTGAACCTCGAAGGACTCCGACGTCTTCCATCGCAAATCACGTGCCTCCTTCGTCTGTGTTCCAGGTTGCCTCGACGTCCTGGGCGCTGGCTCTTCTGCAGCTGGAGGGTTACGGCGAGGAGGACCTGCAGGAGACCGGAGAGCCCCCGCAGGTCGCTCTTCGGAATCTGCTCAGGTGGGTGTAGCTGAGAGAAGCCCAAGGGAATGCTCGCCTTTCTCTCTGGATTTATTCATTTATTCATATTTATAGTGCGTGGCACGTTGTTTTGGTTTTCTCTGTGGAGGTTTGACGGTAAAGATAAAAGGGGAAGTACGGAGCAGAGGCTGTCTCTTCGCCACACGATCCATAATGTGTTGTTTGAATTATCCTTTTGCATGTTTATTCCTCTTATTTTCCCTTTACCAATTCCCGCTTCTGTTCTCTGGTTTCCTTGCGCGACCGCTGCCTCGCCGCAGCCCAAAGTAACCCCAGACCCATCCCGCCAGGCCCGTCCAGCCCGACCAGATGAACGCGACCGTGCAGCCGTCCCTCAAGTTCCTCTTCGTGCGGCATCCGCTCGAGCGCGTCGTCTCCGCCTACAGGAACAAGCTCGAGGACTCGTTCGCCTACCACGACGGCGAACACTTCTACAGGACCTACGGCAGGAGCATCGTGCAGGGGTTCCGACAGAGGAAGAAGTTCAAGATCCTTCTGGACGCCGGCGACGACCCTGGCGACGGCGACGACTACCGGAGGGAGCCCACGTTCGAGGAGTTCGTCGACTACCTTCTGGGCACGGAGGTGGTGGACTACGACGAGCACTGGAAGCCCATGTGGCTGCAGTGCCACGTGTGCGACCTCGAGTACGACTACATCATCAAATACGAGGCCTTCCAGGAGGAGAGTGAGTACTTCCTGCGCCTGCTGAAGGAGAGGAAGCACGTGCCCGAGAGCTTTGACCTCCGCTGGGAGAACAAGGGCGGCACGGACAAGGGCGCGACGCTCGAGTACCTGAGCAAGATTAGCGAGCACAAACGTTGGCTGCTCTACGCGAAGTACCAGGAGGACTTCAGCCTTTTCGGCTACACGATGGAGGGCTACACCGAAGCGATCCCTCCTGAACTTTCCATGCACACGAACGATTTGCATTAGATGTCACATGACCTTCTGGGCTGTATTTATTTTCGAATTCTAAGAATAAACAGGTATTTATAAACGCTGTTGGTTTTTTCCATTCCTTGGTTACAGCGCTGGAACATGTTCCCATATCTTTGTAATTTTGAGATATGGCTGCTTTTATTCCTATAAATAGGACTGTTAGTACTATTATTACTATTATCTACTTTAATGGCACGGACACACGTGATTACACAGAAAAATAAATGGGTTTGAATGAATCATAAATACTGTAATCATGTACTGCCGTAACGGGCGTTCCACTGAGCATGCATTATTAAATTCATATAATCTACATTTCGAAATGTCACATATACACACTCACGTGCACGCACTCGCGCGCGCGCGCACACACACACACACACACACACACACACACACACACACACACACACACACACACACACACACACACACACACACACACACACACACACACACACACAACACACACACACACACAACACACACACACACACACACACACACACACACACACACACACACACACACACACACACACACACACACACACACACACACACACACACACACACACACACACACACACACGCACACCCGGGTATGGTGGTTATTTGTATTCGTGAGAATAAACGAAAATCAATGTGTCGCAGATTATTTTTATATGAATCCAATACGTATAAGCGGCGCTCCGGTCTCCTTCGATTACCTATTCTTCCGGGTTGCGTGACGGGGAGAAGGAGGCAGATAGAGGGGAGGGAAGGAGAGAGGGTTAAGGGAAGGGGGAAGGAGGGTGGGGACAAGGAGGAAAAATGGGAGAAGGGAAAAGAGTAGAAGGGAGAGGAAAAGGAGGGTAAGGAACGCGAGAAAGATGAAGAGGTGAAAAGGGGTAGGAAGTAAGGAGAAATGAGAAGGAAAAAAGAGAAAGGGAGAAGGCAAAAGGGATAGGATGGAGAGAGGAGAAAGGAAGGAGGAAGAGGGGAGATGGGAAGGGAATAAGGTAAAGGGCAACAGAAGGAGAGTGAGTTGATGGGAAGGGGGAGGCAAGGGGACGGGGGCGATGTCCCTAGCAAGGGAAGGCCACTTCGGTGGCAGACTCCGAGCGAGGTGGCTGCGGCGGCGCGCGGCGAGGGATCGAGTGTGACATCGCCGCCAGACTCTCGACCGGCAGCCCGAGTTGAGAAATTCATGAGCCGTCAGCTGACCGGACGAGTGACGGCCTCGCATGTTCAACTCTGATTGAAATCGAATGCCGCTTCCGGAGCCCAACACCATATTCTCCGACGCATCGCCACGGCTTGGAGGATGACTACGCACTCGTCCTTGAGGAAGAACTCGACCTTCTGCGGGAAAACCAGAGACAGAAGGAGACACAAGGTCGCGGCTCTCGGTCTGGCCGCCGTTGTGTGGGCCTCGACGCTCCTCGTCTTCCACTTCTCTGAGGTAATTCTCCAGTACTTTGTGTCGTGAATTAAGTGAATACTATATACTTTGTAAAAAAAAAGAAAAAAAAAAGTGGTAGGAAGTAGCAGATGAAGATGAGTAACTTATATAAGGCTTGTGTTGTACTTGTGAGTATTCGTGTAAACTCATCGCCATTACATTTTTTTGTTTTCATTCTCAAGTTCTCACGTACTGTGCTTTCTCATGCACCAATACCGTTCAAGAATAGAGCTACCTGATAACTATTTTTATGTTCCCCTGCAATCGCGAAGGTTTTTGTTTCCTTTGAGCTCTTTGTTACATTCTTTCGCTTTAGGGATGATGTCTTTCTTTCTCGAGCTAAAAAAAAAAAAAACACGGGCAGGAAGATCTTCCGGGGACTCTTTTCAGATCAAAAAAACCCAACCGGGAGATTTTAATAAAAAAAAACTATATCTGACCGCGGCAAGGATTTTTTTACCCACTTCACTTTTTTTTTCTCCAAA